CCAGTGGCTCTGCAATGATGTCGGCCAGTGCCTTCAGCACCCTCGGATGGAGCTCATCCGGGCCTGCCGACTTAAAGGCATCCAGTTCTTCCAAGTGACTCTGCACCATCTCAGGGTCTACACATGGTAGTCTGCCGCCTTGCTGCTGCCTCTCTACAACCTACAACCCCAGTGAGAGACTTGTTGTGCCCCTCGCTTAGGAACACTGAGGCAAAGAACTCGTTGAGGAGTTCAGCCTTGTCCCCCCTGTCCGTCACCAATTGTTTTTGCCCATTTAACAGGGGTCCTATTCCTCCCTGGGCCTTCCTTTTACTGCCTATATATCTAAAACACAATTTCTTGTTGTCCTTTACTTGGGTTGCCATCCTCAGCTCCATGGTAGCTTTGGCCCGTCTAACTGCCTCCCTACAAGCACGAGCAGAGGAGGTATATTCGTCTTTGGTGATCTCTCCCTGTTTCCACTTTTTATGTGCTCCCCTTTTGGCCCTTAGGCTGCCCTGGATTTCTGCGGTCAGCCAGGGAAGCCTCCTGGCCCCTTTCCCTCTTTTACCCCGCACGGGGATCGTCTCGCCTTGTGCCCGAAGGATCGTTTCCTTAAGGCACAGCCACCCTTCTTGGGCTCCCATCATTTCAAAACTCCTACTCTGCAGTGCGTCCTTGACTAATCGCCTGAGTTCATTTAAATCATCTTTCCTAAAGTCTAGTACTTTCACCCTACTAGTTACCTTACCCACTTGACGTCTTAATGTGAAGACCATGCATGTGGATCCTCTGTCAGCTCTGTCGGCTGCCGGTCACTCTGGGGTGTCAGAGCAAGGGGGGCTGCTCAGTGCCTCTTACTGCATTTCTGAGCTGATGTGCCTCCTGACCCCTTCATGTCCCCTCCTTGCTGTCACCTCCTTGCTGTCACCTTCTCATGGACAATCAGGGGCTGGACTCTCCCCATCCTGCATCCATCTATGGCAGTCAGCCAGGGTGCCAGGGTAGCATGGGGCACTGGACAGCCTGTGAAGGGAGCTCTTGGTAGAGGTTAGACAAG